AGTTCACTAAGCTAGTGTGCGAGGTTGGTTTTGGACTTGGGTTTTCCTGACTCCAAATCCAGTACCCGACCTTCTGCATCACCTAGCTATTTCATGCAATCAAATCATAGGATCACAGAATTTTAGAGGAGAAAGGACCTTTGAGATCATCTATTCCAATCTCCCTGTTTCAAATGAGGAAAATGAGAGCCAGAAAAGTTAAATGCCTTGTACAAAGGCCAGAAACTAGTTAAAGGCAGCACTAAGAAAGTAGATCTAACCCGAAATTCAATGACCTTTCCATTGATTACACCATATGGACCACCCAAGCTAAGCTTTTAAAACTTTAATCTAGATCAAAGGTCAAAGCATAATCAAACCACATTTGAAAACCATTAGAAACATTAGCTATATAAAAGAAGCAGTTAGTAACTCCTTTTGGAAACAAATAATTAAAATAATCTATTTGTACGTTAAAGAGGGGCCGAGCCAATGTTTTGTAAATCTCAACTTTCCTATAGCTCCTCCTTATGTTCAATTTAACAAACATTAAGTAACTGTTACGTGCAAAGCACTGTTTTAGTTGCTATGAATACAAACTTTTTTTTTAAAAAGCAGAGTCACTCTCATTGACTTTATATTCTAGTGGGGGAAACAGACACAAAAATTGCTAACAGTAAGGCATTAGATCAGACCTGCACAACTTGGCAGTAGGTAGGGGCCAAAATTAAAATAGGCTAAACTTTGAGCCACAGATAGGTTTTTTAGTGGCTCACTTTCCAAGGAAACGTATAATTAATAGTAAACTATTTTGCAAATAAACCATATTTTTTAAAAAGGGAAATCTCAATTAATTATACTTATTATTTAAGATTTTTATTTATCACGAAATCACTCCTCTCAGACTAAAGACAGACTGATGATGGTTAGTTGCAACTGGTGATGTCACAAACAGGAGAAAGTGCACAGTAGCAACTGACCCGCCATGTTACAAGACAGGCACAATAGTGACAAGTGGAAGGCAAGTTAAGCGGGAGATGGCCAAAGCACTCATTCTATCTTTACTTTCTTTTACATCCTCTACATTTTTTGTGGGCTGCCTGAAATCTTTTGGTGAGCTGCAAGTGACCCAAAGGCCTTATGTTAGGCAGGCCTGCATTAGATACATGCAAAGGAAAGCCTCATGTCACATCCAAGAAAGGAAGTCTTAATGCAGGGAGGAAGTTATCATGTGGAGGTGGCATTTTTTCAGTTACATTCTAAAGCATACCTCCTAAGGAAAGGCAGACCTGGATATGATTTTAGAATTTGATCCAAAATTGCAGTTCCCTTTATCAGCATAGTCTCCTGCAGTCGTAGAGACCATATACTACAGAATCATATTAGAGTTCAAAAAAGAGACTGTTTAAGAACAAAATAGGGGCAGCTAGGCAGTGCAGTGGATAGAGCACCGGCCCTGAAGTCAGGAGGACCGGAGTTCAAATCAGGCCTCAGACCAAAGACTTGACACTTACTAGCTGTGTGACCCTGGGCAAATCACTTAACCCCAATTGCCTAAAAAACAAAACAAAACAAAAAAAAAGAACAAAATAAAATTAAATAGCTTACATTCTTGAGTCAAATTTAAGAGTAAACTAAAATCATTCACTGAAGAACAGCAAAGTCACTTTTAAACTCTTGGAAAAAGATATAATGCATAACAAGTATTCAGTAAGCAATCATTTACCTCTTTTAAAAAACTGCATGTCACTTTTAGTGTGGTATAATGAAAAGAAGGAAGCAAACAAGCATTTATTAAGTCCCTAAGTGTAAGTAGAGAGCACTTTACAAATATTATCTCATTTGACCATCACAACAGCCTTGGAAGTTAGGTGCTGTTATTATCCCCACTTTACAGTCAAGGAAACTTTAGTAAACAAAGGTTAAGTGACTTGCCCAGGGTCACACAGCTAGTCAGAGTCTTAAGGCCAAGTTTGAACTCAAGTCTTCTTGACTCCAGGCCCAGAGAACTGTATTTGGAGTTGGAGTACCTGGGCTTTGCTATTTACTAACCATGTTACCTTAAGCAATTCATTCTACTCTTTGGGTTTCAATTTCCTCACCTGTAGAATGAGGCAAATGAATTAGATGAATTTCTAGTTCCTTTCCAGTTCTAAATCTTGGTCTTTCTTTTTATTAGTGTTCTTAAAAGTCATAATGTTCTTTTTTCCTACACTTTAACAAGGTATGTAGGAGAAAGAACAGTGGGTTTGGAATCCAAAGTTGCAATCCTGTCACTTATTAGCTATTTAATTTGAAGCAAGTCAATTTAACTTTCTCTGCCTCCTTTTCATCAGCAACAAAATTAGTGAGTTGGACTAGATTGTCTCTAAGTTCACTTTTTCTGTCTCAAACATCCTAAGATTTCCTTCCCTAGCTCAAAGTAGTTGTAATAAGATACTTTCTCCTGTATAATTAATCTATCTCTTTCAGATGCTTCAAGTGCTTTGCTCAGATTACAATCTACATGCTTGTTGCCATATGCTTCTGGAAAAAATTTGGAATGTCAAAATGAGTGGACTGTGAAATCACAGTGAAAATATTGGCAGAGCAGGCTATATAAAAAATAAAATTTTTACTATTTTTACTATTTCATCATGAATGGTTGGGTAATCAGATGCTATGAAAAGAAAGTGCTGGGGAAAACACATGGCAGAAAAAGGACTCTCAGTTGAAAACACACTGGCGTATATATGTATATATAAATATATACACAATACACATATGTATACATTTCTTTGTATATATGTCTGTATGGAGACAGACAGAGACAGAGACAGACACACAGAAAGTCAGAGAGAGAAAAAGAGAAACAAACAGAAAAAGAGACAGAGAGACAGAGAGTCACAAGGCCACAAAGTATAGTGGTATGATGAAAAGAATACCTGAACAGAGAAATCTGCAGAAGACCTACATTCATACTCAAATCTGCCACTAATTCTGTCTAGCCTGTATTTCACTTTATTCTCTGAATCCTAGTTTATTTGCAAAACTAGGGGTTGATCTAGATGACCTCTAAGAGTCCTCAAACTGTTAATTCCTCTATGCTTCAAGGTTTTTTTCATTGTTGTATGTCATGAATTTGAATTCCACAGAAACATGTTTATTTTCCATCCCCAAAGTGTCCTGGATCTAAGACTTGCTATGTTTAATACCATCTGATTTTTCTTGAGCCCCCCCTTAAGTGAATAACATAATTAGCATTACTACTATTATGTTATTTTTATTGTAACATAGTGAGTAATACGGGGTTAGAGGCTTGCCATATTCCAGCTATTCAGTGAAACCAGGAGAGAAACAAGGATAACTCATAATTAAATTCACAGTTAATTACAAATATTGATTGGTAATATTAGTTTCTCATACCCAACCATTTTGTTTTTCTTTAAATAAAGTTGCTTAAGACAAAAAACAAAATGGAATGAAATGAGTTTTTGCCTTTTTTCCTACCTTGTCCTTCCTGTGCTAGAGGTATCCTTGGGCAGAAAACTAACATTAAGAGGGATAACAAATTAAAACAAAAGGCCTCATATGTTTTTCATTGTTCAGTCTTTTTCAGTCATATCTGACTCTTGGTGACCCCACTTAGGGTTTTCTTGGCAAAGATACTGCAGTAGTTTGCCATTTCTTTCCCTAACTCATTTTACAGATGAGGAAACTGAGGCAAACAGGGTTAAGTGACTTGACCAGGGTCACATGGCTAGTAAGTATTAAGGTCATATTTTGAACTCAGGAAGAAGAGTCTTCCTAACTCCAGGCATGCCCCTCATATAATAGTAGTCATTAAAATATCACTACATTATTTTAGGATATTTGACATTTTTCAATTAAATTTAAAATACATTTCCTCATTTTATCCTCACAAAAAAAAAGCTGTTTGGGTAGATAAGGTCTTTAAAATAAAGGGGCAATTAAAAAATAAATAAATAAAATAAAATAAGGGGGCAAGTAGGTCTACATCCCAAAGATGGGGGAAAAAAAGTAGGGAAGGACCTATTTGTACAAAATAATTATAGCAGTGAAGAACTGGAAATCAAAGGGTTGCCCATCAACTGGGGAATGGCTAAACAAGCTCTGGCATATGATTGTAAAGGAATATTATTGTGTTATAAGAAATAACAAGCAGGATGATTTCAGAAAAACCTGGCAAGACTTACATGAATGATGCACAGTGAAGTAAACAGAACCAGAAAAACATTGTACACAGTAAGAGCAAATTGTCTGATGAAGAACTGTGAATGACTTTGCTATTCTCAACAACACAATGATCTAACACATTAGAGGTATAGAATTTGGAACTCAAAACTTTAAATAAAAATGATAAAAATAAAAAAAAGGAGGGGCAAGGAAAAAATTATAATAGTTTTTCTTTTAAAATACTATTTAAAATTTAGAACTAAGACTTATAGGGGCTGCTAGCTGATGCAGTGGATAGAGCACCAGCCTTGAAGTCAAGAAGACTCACATTTCGGAGTTCAAATCTGGCCTCAGACAATTAATATCTGTGGGACCCTGGGCAAGTCACTTACCCCTACTTGCTTCAGTTTCCTCCTGTGTAAAATGAACTGGAGAACAAAATGGCAAACCAGTCCAGTATCTTTGCCAAGGAAATCCCAAATGGGGTCATGAAACAGTCAGAGAGTGAACAACAATAATCATGTGTTTGACTTGGATTAACTAACAAGGGTTAATTTAATCGGATTCATTATGTAACCAGGCAAAATCCTTTTAAAAATTTATTTAATTTACAGAAAAAATGTTTATTTAAATAAGAGATGAAACATAACTTCAAGCATTTTGAATGTTATCCCAAAATGACTCTGAAGTCAACAAAACTTTAATTTGAGACCCTCTAATGGATTTAGTGTTTGTATATGTTGGCAACTCCAAACTATTGTTTGACTGCACAGAGAAAACGTGCCCACATCAAGAAATGGGCATATTGTGATATTTCAGATATCTAGCCTTTGTAGGCATCTTACCTTAAAAGTCTCTGCCATTTGCTCTAGTTCTCCTGTCCCACAGCATTCATGATTACAGTCCTAAAAGAAGAAATCAGAATCCAATCAGCTAAAGTCAAAGCAAAAATTTCACAGAAGGTCCAGTCCCCAGCAAAATCAAGACATGGAGGGGCCATAAAAATCAGAAAACACCATTTAGCAGAAACATAAAGCAAAATGAAACCTTGAACACTTGTTCTATCTTCTCATTTCCACCTAGTATTGATTGTGATGTTTCCACTGACTATGTTCTACCAACCAACACTGCTGCCACCACTCCAGGACAATCCATATTATTTATTTAGCTTTTCTTCTGACTTCCATGGGACTGTTACATTTTAAGTTTTGCTCTACTGAAGCCAGGTTTGTGTTTGGTTTTCTTATATCAGAATAAATGGTTTCATTTAGTCTTAAACAATCTAACCAGCATCCTCTTGGGAAAGGCTCAGTCTTTTAAACACTGGAGCACAATAGAAAGGGTAGAAAAGGATGTGGTGGCCTCTTTATTTTCCTCCGTTTTCTCCAAGCCAGTAGTTTTGAATACAGACTCATGGAAACCAAATCAATAATCAAGATATATACAATGACAGACCTACCTTTGAAAGTGGCCACAATGACAAAGAATAGATGTTTTAGAAGGCGTTTTGGGGAACAGGACTCCAAACCAAATAAAATTGGTTATTCTTCAGGGGTGTGATTTGGGAGATCTTCAAAGGAATCGGGTGATCTAGAGATTCCTTAATCAATGATTGACATGCAACAGTGGGAGGGAAGGAGGGAAAAGGTAAGGGAGCCAGAGAATGGGAGCCTAATGAAGCAATAGGCAATGCCCAAAATTCTCAAAGCTACTGACAGGTGCGGGAAAATTTTACAGCGCCAGGGGCTCGGGCACCACCCGGGGGATGTCCCGCTACCATCTCGGAGATTCATCACGTTTGCATCCCACCCCACCCCCACAAAAAGCTGCTTTCAGCGGAGCTTAACTGGGAGCCACAACACACCAGCGTTAACCTTGTGGACAAAAAAGGATGTCACAGAATTCCAGGATTTTCTTGCTTACTGCTGTAGGGGCTGGGAGATGAGGACCATTTGAAAAGATTTTTGTTTTTGTTTTTTTTAAGGGGTGAAGGTAGGAGACTGGGGGCGGCGGGGGGGGGGAGTACCCTTGGGCAAGAAATGTAGAAGAAATGATGTCTTGGTGAATGCAGCGCAGGGAAACTGGGATGAGTGCAGGAGCGGCTGCAGAGAGGCAAAAGGCAAGGGCAAGAAAGACTGGGGAGATGGACGAGCTTAAATCTCCCCTAACCCTCCTAGCCCCCTACCCCCCACTCCTCCCACTTCAAACACCCTCACCCAATGTACCTGGCAGGAAACGGCCTCGGCTGCTCCGGGCTGGCTGGCCATGCTGCGTCCTGAAGGGCGATGGCCGTGCGCCGCGGCTCTAGCTGCTGCAGCACGAGGCTTCTTCCGAACTAGAGCTAGCGAGCGCCCCAGGCAGCCACCAGCTGTGCCAGCAGCGCACGGCCCACTTGCCGCGTGATGCTCCAACTCCACGGGGCCAGGGACAAGAAGAGGCGCGAGAGGGTCGCAGCACTGTTGCCCTCCTTCCACCGGCACGAGACAAATGCAGTCCTTCCCTCCCGGTCCCTGGTGAGCTGGAAAAGACGTACGTCTTAGCCTCTTTCCTCCTCATCCGTAGAATGCGATCATTGGCCAGAAATCACCAAGACTCAAATTACCTCCAACTCCGTACACTCTTAGGGATTCGAGAGAGTGGGCAGAACCATTCCCCATCTGGAGGACCCAGAGCAAATTAGCAATGACTGAGCAGACCCTGGGGGCGGGGCTCTGGGGAAGGCCTGCTTGGTTTTTTATGCTATGATGTGGCTAAAAGAAAGGTTTGGGATGGGACATCAGGGTCAATGTACGCTAATTTCTGTTAATTACACGCTCAAAATTTGCAACTCAAAGAAACAATTCCTCTTCCTAAAGAATTGCAACGTGGGGAAAATTATTCCCTCTTGCCTCTTTACTCACACCTTTAATGCTGAGCACCCAGTGCAAAACCCTAGCCTCTAAGAACTGGCAAGATACGCCACCTGGAAAATACTCTAGCAGCTGGGGCATATCCAACTGTCATCAGAGGTACCTTGATGTAGAAAGAGCGCCTGACCTCTATCCAGGGTTATATGGATTTAAACTAGTATGTAAAACGCTGCTATTAATCCTGAGCAAGTCATTTCACCCAAATTTCCTCATTTGTTAAATGAGGACAAAGATACATACCCAGCCTATTTCACAGGGTCGTTCTGAGGAAAGTGCTTTGTAAATCTTATCAATCCATAGAAAGGAGAGCTGTTAGGAGTACACTGTATAACATCCCTACTCCATCTACCATAAAATCATAAGATTGTAGATTTAGTCAGAAGGAACCTTGAAAAGTCCCTTAATTTGACCTCTCATTTTGCAGCTGAGGAAATTAAGGTTTAGGAACTTTGAGGTTTTAAGGATAAAGTGCAATCGAGCATCTTTAAACAAAGGTTAAAGAGCTAATTAGTATTTTAAATATAGAATGGAAACTACAACCCCCCAGCTAAAGTAAGGAGCACAAAGGTTTATTTTTTAAATAAGTTTATGTTAAATCATTATTAATAATAGTCATATTCACCTCTTCCAATAATTCTGTTGAAGGCACCACCATCCTTCCAGTCACCCAGGTTCTTAATTTCAGTGTTGTCCTTAACTCTTTCCTCTACCTCCCATCCCACATCCACTTGCCAAATCCCATTAATTTAATTTCCATAACATCTCTCAGATCAATCCCCTTTAGCCTCCAATCCATTAAATCAATCCAATAAACATTTAATAGGTGCCTATCATGTGCCAGTTGCTGTGCATTCATCCAAAGTCACAACCTTCCCTACCAAAAACAAAAATAAAATAAACAAAAGTTTGTTATTAATAATGAGCCTTATAAGATCAGATCAACACTATCTTCATAACCCACAGAATCAGTTTATCTCTCCCTTTATATCTCCATGTCTACATTTGTGTCTGCTTTTTTTCCTTTTGATGGTTGACCTTGCCTGAACTTGTATACTTCCTCCTCCCTTACTTCCTCCTCTCTGAACTACCTTCACACTCCCCCCCCCAAAAAAATGAACAAAAATTTGGCTTTTATATTCAAGTAAAAAAAAATTATTAAACATCTCCTTTGTGCAAGACACTGTGATAATGGGTTGGGGGTACAAAGTCAAAACCTAACAGTCCTTGAACTCAAGTAATCAGTCAGTCAAAAAGCATTTATTAACCACTTACTACATGCCAGGCACTGTGCTAAGCCCTGGTAGTGATGTACCAAGATCATGTACCCAAAAAGAATTTGGGTTCCATTTGTCTAAGGGAGTCTCCTTGAATTCTCCCACTTGATCAAAGAGGTCTCTGGAGTTCTCCAGAGGCTACAATCCTTATCAGCTGGTCTTTTGTCATCACCTACCCTTAACCTAGCCTAGCCCTCCACTGTTTTACCTCCCTATGGCCCTGGGCTACTTCCCACACTTGACCTAGTCTAGACCCCATTCTTGCCCTCCCTGTCACTCCCATCAAGATCCTTCCTAGATCTCTCCCACAGTGTTTCTGTATATAAGGTCCATCTTGTCTCCATTAAGGTTCTCAGTTTCTTAAAATCTAGCCACTGCTCAGATTCCTTAAGAACCTAGCCAATAGCTCACAAATGTTCAGATTCCTTAAGTCTGGCCAATATGGTGGATCTTTAATAAACCTTGTCTTTGGCTGAAAGAAGGCTTGGGTGGAATTCTTTTGGGCAGCACCCGAATGTCATGATTTTAAGGTTCCAGCACCCCTAAATCTCTAGACCTCATCAGTAGTAGTTTATAATCTCCTGGGGACAGGAATGCAAAATATGTACAAATAAGTTTGATATACATAAAATGAACTGGAGAAGGAAACGGCAAACTACTCCAGTGTCTTTGCCATGAAAACCCCAAATGGGGTCACAAAGCATCAGCTGAAATTGGTGAGGTTGGGAGCTAGACCCCAAAAAGGAAAAACCCTGGACTTTCCCACAAGGCCAAATCTCTGGCGTTTGCCTGAGGCTATAATCCCATCAACTAGTCTTTCATTGTGTCTATCTCTGTTACCCTTAACCTAGCCTGGCCCTTTACTGTCAAACCTCCCTATAGCCCCTGGCCACTTCCCACCCTTAATCCTAGGTAGGCTCCATTCTCCCTTGGCCACGTGGTCCAGGTCCCTAGCATTCTATTACCTCACAGTCCCCCGGCACCACCCCCAGACTACTTGGCCGTTCCTAGATTCCTCCCACAGTCTTTCTGTATGTAAGGTCCATCTTGTCTCCATTAAGGTGCTGAAATTCTTATAATCTAGCCAATAGCTCAGTAATGTTCAGACTCCTTAAGAGTCTGTCCAATATGACTGATGTTCTAATAAACCTTGTCTTTGGTTGAAAGAAGGCTTGGGTCAAATTCTTTTGGGCAGGACCCGTGTGTTGTAATTTTGGGGTCCCAGGACCCCTGAACCCCTAAGCTACATCAATGCCACCTCTTTTCAGCAGGCCAGGAGAGAAAAAGTGATCCTTTGGGGCATCTGGTGGTGTTCTGGGTAGAGTGTGAGGCCTGGAGTCAGGATAGTCCTACCTCAGACACTTAGTAGTCATGTGTCCCTGGGCATGTCATTTGTTTGCCTAAATTTCCTCATCTGTAAAATGAGGATAATAATAGTAACTCCCCTCCAGGATTGTTGTGAGGATCAAATGCGATAATAGTAATTGTAATGTGCTTAGCAAAAAGTTAGTGCTACTTAAATGCTAGCTATTAGAATTATTGTTACTTAGAAGACAAGGTTCTAGTCCTAGTTCATAGCATTTACTGGATATATGACCCCGAGCAGTCAGTCAATCCATACACATTTATTAAACACTATATTCAAAGAACTGTGCATATAACCACCTAATTTCTCTGAGCTTCAGTTTCATACACTACACCCTTCAGGGTTCAGAGGAAAGCATTTTGTAAATGTAACAAGATAAATTCTGATAGAAATAAATGTAAAGTATTATACTTTGTTTTTAATGAGGTAGTTTGGTGGCACAGTGGATAGAGTGCTTTGCCTGGAGTCAGGAAGACCTGAATTTAAATCTAGCCTGAGACACTTAACAGCTGTTTGACCTTGGGCAAATCACTTAATCTCGATTTGCTTGTTTCTTTGTCTGTAAAATGAGGGTGATAATAAAAGCACCTAACTCCCAAGGTTGTCAGTGAGGATCAAATGAGACAATATTTATAAGCCCTTAGCACAGTGCCTGGCACATAATAGGCCCTGTATAAATATCACAATTATTATTTAAATGTGGGAGCTGGACTCCATGACTACTAAAGTCCCTTACAAGTTAAAATTAATGATCCGAAAGACAGAAAAAGCAGATAGGAGCTGAATTGTATAGAACCTGGAAAGGCAGACTAAGTAGTTTGTAGTTTATCCTTGAGGTAATACTGAGCCACTAAAGGGTTGGGTTTTTGTTTTTGTCATTTTTCATGTTTTTTAATGTTTTGTTTTGTTTTTGTTTTAAGTAGGGAGAAACATGGCATTGGCTAAAAACCAATGGAGTTTGATCTGAAAGATGCTATGGAAATTGAATTAACAGGACTTGGCAAGTGGACGGGGTGTGAGAGAGAAGAAAGAGTTAAGCACAATACTGAAATTTAGAACCTGGGTAACTGGAGGATGATGATTTCTTCAACAGAACTATTGGAGAAAGTGAATGTTTAAAGAGAAAGATGGTAAGCTTGATTTTAGACATGTTGGGTTTGAAATGCCAATGGGACAAACAGGCAAAGATGTGCAGTTAAAAGATCATTCTCCTTGGCAGAGAAAACAGAAGAAAAAAAATGAATTGAGCAGCTTTGTTTCCTCTCTCTCAACAGTTATCATTGTTCTAACCACCAAAAGAAATGTTCCTATCCCCTCTTTGATCTTCTACCCAAAGTAGAAAAATGAATTCAAACAACTTCTTGAGTAGCACACAGAATTAAACATAGAGATTGTTCTTTGTGTTTTACTAATTTGAACAAAATGGTTGAAATTAAAATAGCTATTTTTTTTCTTAGAAGAGCTTGATCAGTTTGCAAATGAATATTTAAAGAGCATTTAAGTCCCTACCAGACACAATAATGTAGTAGAAAAAGCAATTCATGTATTAGGTAGAAGACATAGTTTCTAGTCCTACTTTCATCGTTTACTAGATTTGTGACCATAAGCAGTCAGTCAATAAGCATTTATTAAGCTTCTACTATTTCAAGGCATTGTGCATGTAATCACTTCCTTTGTGTTGTTATGTTTGCCCTTCATTCTCAAAGAGGACCATGACATCAGGGAGATGATAACATGACTTGCAATTG